CAACATCTCAGAGCAAGCTCAAGAACTTCTAGGACGAGCTCGTGCTGCGGCAGCTGCCCATGGTGACATCTTGAAGGCCAACGGACCATGGCTCAAGAAAGTCGACATGATCCGCACCCTGGTAGAGTCACAGTGGTCTTGGACAGCTGGCGCCGTGCACTGGGCGAGCAAAGACCTGCATGCTGCAAATGTTGCGCAACTTCATCTCCTTCGCAACGTCTTCGCACTTCGTCGTCACAGTGGGGAAAGCTGGGTTACGTGGAATCAGCGATCACTGCGCTTCTGCAGGACATGGATTGCTAACAACTCTATTCCCAGATGGAGCAGTAAAATTCTGAGTTTGCAGTGTAATCTACATGGTCATTGGGCTCGAAGATGTGAAAGTAACTCTCGAGGAGTGCCGTCATTCAACCTGCCTATGCGCACACTTATGTGGAGATGCACGTCTTGGTGGCGGCACGAACAAAGTCTGCCTACCTCCGTAGGTCTCCGCCACCCTGCTCGGTTCTTCGCTGCCAACCCTGAACGTCAACTAGCTGAAGCCCTTGGAAATTGCTGGTGGACGGTTGCTCTTGACCGTGCACTGTGGAGCGCTGCTAGGTCTCACTACGTCGCGACTTGGGACGTCAGATGGACAAATGGTCGACAGTTAGCTTTGAGGTTTTGATGTTTGCCTTCTTCTCTGAGTTTGTGAAGTTACCTGACTGAGATACTCGGGACTAGGCCTTGCCTCTGCCCATTCCGCTGCCTGTCACATTTTGCACTTGCGAAGCTACATGTCGCTTTGGTTCTCTCTTATACGTTCGTGATTTATGCCGGAGACTCGCAGCCTGACTTCGGTGTCAAATGATATGCACAAGACTTCTTTCTTGGAGCCCTGTGGCTCGAAACTTGCTGAGCGCTCTGAACCCCTCCTTCCTTCTCTTCGCCAACCATGACGAGCTTTCGGTGCCTCTTGCTGGCTGCGCTGCTTCTCGCCGCCGTGGGCATGCAGTGGGAGACTGAGTACACGTTGGAGGCGAATTCTTCTGAGGACCCTGCTCACCCTCATCAGCCTGCATATGGCATTGGAGGACTTCAGCCTCCCGCGGTTGGGCCTTGGACCTATCCCCAGTACATCAACTTCATGGCCAATGCATGGGATGAAGACGTGTCACTGGCAGAACAACTACAAGACTATCATGACTTCGAGAAGGCACAGAATGGATCCGAGGCTGCATCGTCCTCCTCGGCGATGCCAATAGGAACAACTCCAGTGCCTGCCAGTATGGATGAATTGCCATGGGTTGGTCCGGGTGCTCTTGCAGATGGGCGATGTCTCCGTGGCATTGGACGAAGTCCACCGGAACCCGTTCCGACGGCTGGTCGTGATCCTCGTGAACTTCTTGTGCCCTCGAATGGAGGTGGCTCTCGTAAGCCCCCACCGCTGGATTTGATGGCCCCCTCTGCGACTTCCTGTGCCAGCTCTGCTCCGTCTACGTGCACCTTGCCTACATCATGCCCCTCCACTCCTTCGCCTGACATGGAAGAGCAAGCAGATACTGGGTTGATCCCTCCGCAGAGCATGCCCACTTTTCATAGTGGTGCTGCTTCGTCGTGGCAGACACCGTCCTCGTCTTCCTCTGTGCAACCTACTGGGTCGACTTCTTCCTGGACTTTGTCTTCAGCATTACCGTGGCAGACTCCGACATCGTCTTCCTCTGGGCCACTAACTGGGGCGACCTCTTCCTGGACTTTGCCATCTCCGTCCTCGAGCTCCTGGTCAACTTGGTCATCCTGTGTCTCGGTGCCTTCGACTGTGTCTGCTTGGAATGACGCTGATAGGACTGATGTGTGGGGCACCCACTGGACGCATGACTCTGCCGAGACTGCCCAGATGCAGAACGGTGACGAAGACCATGGCATCACGCAACGCTTTGGTCGAGTTCGCCCTGGACGAGACCGTTGGCACCATTCCAATGGGTCGATTCGCAATCGTCGCCAAGAACGACTCATGCGGGAGGCCAATCTGCTCGGGACGATTGCGGAAGCTGGTCCTACTGAACCACCCTTCCATGTGCTAGGTACAGCTCAGACAGATGATGGACCGGTTGTACAAGCTGAGACCTTCTATGGGGAAAAGTTCTCAGTTCATGCCTCAGGCAGTGGTGCAGTGATGGAAGACTCTACCACGGCAGGAGATGACAGCTCACACATTGTGGCCCCGGATGATGCCGCCGATGAAGCCTCCTCTTCCAATGTGAGCACCACGGGCGAAGTTGGCTTCTGGCGACATGGTGAGTGGGTCGCTAGGCCGAGGACGGACACCGAAGCAAGAGCTCATAGAGGAGGAGGAGGCATGCAAAGGTGGCTGAAGAACCAACGGCGCATGGCCGCATACTTCCAAGGACGATGGAAACCCGCGTGGATGGTACAGTATATCCGCGATCGAGACCGTCGCCGTGGCTCTGAGGCTGACCACAGTAGTGCCAGTGCACAGCAGCCTCCGGACAATATTCTCGATGAAGCACCAGATGACCAGGATGGACATTGGCTGTCGACAATGAATCAGTCTCTGACGGTTGAATCTAACGTGGAGGTGCTGACTGCAGTCTCCAGTTCATCCGCCACCCAAAACCTGACTCAAGCCTCGTCCTCATCATGGAACAGCTCTGCGCCGGAGTATGCTACAATAACGACCAACAGCAATCAAGAAGACACTTGGAACTGGACTGGATGGCATCAACACGATGCTTGGCAAACTGGTTGGCAAGGGGATGCAAACTGGCAACACAATGGTTGGCAATCTTCTTGGGAGACTTCTTCTACCACAACCAGTTTCATCTTTGTCCTTCCTAACCATGGACTTTTTCCTGAAGTTCGTCCTGTTCCTGGCCAAGCTGTTCAAAATGAGGGAGTTGATATCTCTGCAGAGGTACACGAAATGGACGACACTGAAGAAGCAGATGATGTGAGTCACATGCAGCTGACAAACGCAGAACGTCGGCGCCTTGAAGAAAGAGGTGTTCCGCACCGTATGATCGATAGGGTTGAGAACCTGTTCAATGCCCTCCAACGTATGCAGGACGAAGGGCAGGGGGCGGAAGGTAGATGGTCGCTCAACTGTCTACGCATGCGTTTAGTTGATGGAATTGATGCCCTCGAAGCCTTGTGGAGAGTCATTGATCGGAGGATGATGCCCCAAGGCTATCTACCAGTGAGACGTGTGCCCCGACAAGAGATGGACCAATGGCGCCTCTTCAACTGGATCCAGAACTTTGTGGATGTGTTCACCACTACGTTGGAGACACAGCTCTCCGTGCGGCTACAGCCGGCAGATATGACCGTTTCGCCTATGGCCCCTGCTGATGCCCCTCCGTCGGAATCTGTTGATGAGCCGTCGGTCCGCAGCAACAATGAGTCGGCTGATACCAAGGCAACGTCCACTGAGCCGGCCAGCTCCTCCTCTGGTACCAGGCGCCGTGCTACTCGGAGACGCACCAGAACAACGCGCTCTCGTAGCCCTTCCGGTACTTCTGAGTGGATCCCGTCGATGCGCAGCGATATGGCTTACAACTCAATGGGAGTTTTGGTCGAAGTTCCACCTCGGAGTCCGTCTGGTGGACCACATGGACCTCCTCCACCACAACCAGTGAATCTTCCACCTGACGAACTTCAAGGAATTTGGAGAGACCCTGTTGAAGCGGATGAACCGGGAGCTTCGTCTTCTTCGTCCTCGTCGACTACCTCGACCACAACCTGCACCGTGTGGGACGAGTTCTTTGCCAATGCATCCATGAGTTCTACTTTGTCCCTAACATCCCTGACTGGCGTCTGTTCTACCACGACCACGTCCTCTTCTTCATCGGTGCCATTACAGACTATGAGCACAGTGGTTTGGCCTGACGAGGTTGTGAGGGATACGGTGAATGTGCATCTCGTACATGGTGCCCAAGTGGATGTAGTGGAGTTTATCCATCGACTACTTGTACAACTACGTCGTCTTCAACACCAACAACGACTTCTCCATGATGCTCTTGAAGAAAGCCTATCCTGGATCCAGATTCCGCTCTCTGCAACACCATTAAATGCCGATGCCTTCATGCATGGAGTATGGCCGGTGATTGTGGCACAAGCTCGACATGGTTCTGGCCCGACGAACAGCTCGACATCACAACAGACGTCTGCCCCCTCGGTTTTACTGTCACCAGACTTACCGGCTACGCTGTGGGAGCTACGGAATCAATTTCCGGACGAAGGGGATCACACATTGGCAGGCTATCGTCGGCGAGCTTGGCAACACCATGTCGCTGGTTTGTTTGCAGAACAGGAAGATCGTCCTGCCCCGGTAGGTCATTGGCCGTCAGAGAATGACGAAGCACTTTTCCTTGTTCAACAGAATGAAGACGTGCCTATTTCCAACTGGCCCCATCAAGTTGATCGACCAGTCTCTCTTCGTAATGCTTTGATGCCGGGAAGACGTCGCCATCGAGCTCGTCGACCACCACCAAGGTTTCGTGCTGCTGGTTCTGGGGATGGAGGAAATACTAGGTCGTTTCAACATGTGGGAGGTCGTGATCTTCCAGGTGCTTCTGATGTACACGATTCTGCCCTTCCACGTGCTCCACAACTTCGTACTGCCCATCAAGGATCCCCGGGTGTTGCTGGAGGACATGCTGATGTTCATCAAGGACCTCCTGGCGAAGATGATCAAGGACAAGTGGCTGGTCAACAAGGATTCCCTGGTGAAACTGATCGCTGGGTTCGCAATGTCCGTCGACGAGCTGCCTCCTCATCGTCGTCATATCGTCGTGAACGGAGCCGCAGTCGTGATGATGTCTGAGGAGTTGTTTTCGTTGGTTGCTGTCACCTGGGGTGTCTGAGATGCTTCTGATCGTCTGAGAGTTGGCCTCTGTAGTGCAAGCCCTTGTGGCAGGCCTGTGACCTGCTCTGCGTGCGGAGTGGAGAAAGCGTCATTGCACTTTAAAAAAAAACCCTAAACCCTAAACTCCCACGACCAGGTCACGCCCCGAAGTGGTTCCTCCGCTGCAACTTCCTCGAGGCGCTGCCGCGAGGTACGCCTTGAAGAGTTCCGTCCACTCTTACCATGGGAGTTTCCGAAATTAGGGGTACCTAATTGGGGGGTCCTTATAATAAGGATCCTACTATTTAGGGTACTATATCAGGGCCCCCATACAGGGAACTCCAGAAAGTTGGAATATGGTTTCAGGGTAGGATACCTTATAATTTACCATAAAGGGCTTAGGATAATCATATTCCAACTTTCTGGCTTTTACTTTAGGACATAGAGGCCTTAACAAGCTAGAGGGAATAGGCGGAATATGGTTTCGGGGTTAATTATACCATACTACACTGTACTGTGCTTACTGCAGAGTTTCAGGGTTCAGCGAGCCTTTCAGCGATCTACAACAGGGTTCTACGTGGATGTAAGGCTTGGGGTTTAGGAGACTATTGTTGCACGTGTATATACGCGGATTTCCACGAATCAGGTTCCTCTTCATTTACCTTTAGTTAGTAGGGAATCGAGGAATGGGATACAATGATAACTACTGTTACTACTAAACCCTAAACGCTAAACACTATTACTACCATTCTTCCATTCTCTACTAACCACAGGTAAGCTTCATCCTCTTGAGGGAGTCCAAAAACGGAGACTAGTTGGCAGAGCTGCTTGTAGAATCTTCGCCGAATCACAGAAAAACTTCGAAAATGTGGGAGTTCCCGAAACTTAGGGGTCCCCTATTTTCACAAACTTCAATGTGAACCAAGAATGCCCCAGAACTATTTGGAGTATGTTAGGGCCTCGATCTTCTTGCTGAATCTCCTTCCCAGTGAGAAGGACCTATAGTCTCCATTGTAGTTCCTTTTGCCTGGTTTAACCAATTGAATATATATATATATATATAGAGGATCCTAAAAGGTAACCCCAAAAAGGAACTACCATGGAGACTATAGGGAGCTTTCAAACCTAGTTGGCTGTGCATGGGGGGGGGGGCAAAGAGTTACAGCTTTACAGCTGGTCGACATCCTTAGCCCAAAAGCCTCAACCCTAAACCCCTAAACCCCAACACGTGTTTCGATGGAGCACGTCGTGGGCTGCCACCTGTCACACTTGGTCTTGCACAGGCAAACCTCCTCACATCTTGAACGGGGGTTTAGGGTTTAGGGTTTTCGGCACCATCTGTGTCCTACAGCGGGGCCTGACGTTTCGAATGCCTGTGTGAGAGAGAGAGAGAGAGAGAGAGAGAGAGAGAGAGCGAGAGAGAGAGAGAGAGAGAGAGAGAGAGAGAGAGAGAGAGAGAGAGAGAGAGAGAGAGAGAGAGGGAGAGAGAGAGAGAGAGAGGGGGGGAGAGAGACGGAGAGAGACGGAGAGAGACGGAGAGAGACGGAGAGAGAGAGAGGGAGAGGGAGAGAGACAGAGAGGGTTTTGGGGTTTAGGGCGGGGTTACATCCCTGATATTGTACACCTGTGGGTGGGAGGTTGTTTCCGGTGGTGCAGAACAACATGAAAGAGGTCTGGATAAATATGATGATTAAGGCCCCTACATCACACCCTCATAGAAATCCGTAAGAAGCCTCCATAAAAGCACCTTTACCACTGTTGAACCCTATGCCAAAAAACCTCTAAGGCCTCTACGGCCCTCAACGCCCCGAGACCCCAAACACAAAAACACCAAAGCCCTTGCCCCTTAAACCCCTGAACCATCTAAGACCCTAAACACCTGGCCCCTCTAAGATCCCGAAACCCTATAGAGCTGACACATAGATTAAAACATAAAACCCTAAAAACTGGAGGGGAAAAATGCTAAACAGCCACTCCAAGGGTAAACGGAGGGACCCTTAATAAGGACCGTTAGGGATATACCCTTAAAAGAGCTATTAAAAACCCATTAGAAAGCCCATTATAGGGTAGGGGTCCCCATCAAGAGTCCCTCCTCGTCCCCTTTGAACCACCCCTCTAAGGCCGTTCACCAACCGCCCCAAAGCCGGACATCTTCAGGTCCCCAGTGCAGACTTCCAGGCTATTCCGGCACTGCTTTTCCGCGAAGCCCAATACCATTGCCGATGCGTGTGTATTTGTACATATATATATATATACATATATGAGCGACGGCTTTTATTTGCGTTTATACTACAGTACTTTGAAACGAGATACCTCCGTGCAGTATTTTTGTTGTCGGAACCAGCCCTACTACTAGGGGAACGAGATAGGGGCACCGCTTCAAACGAGATCAAGTATATTTAGTACTAACGATACTTGAACGAGATCGACTTTTTCTGCCAGTGCTTAACATGATGAAACGAGATAGGGGCACCGCTTCGAGATAGCGCAATTAGCCCAAGCAATAAATAAACTCAGTGGTATGTATATATATATATATATATATATATCATTATATATGTACATGTAGATGTATATGTCTTGTGCATATATATATAGATATATATATATATATATGTATGTATGTATGTATGTATGTACGTATGTTTGTGTGTATGTATGTACAGTATATATATATATATATATATATATATATTCAAATCATAGTAGACAGATTGATTTGATTGGATTGGGTTGGAACAGGTTGCCTGTTGTTAGGCTAGAGTGGGTTAGCTTAGATTTGGCTAGGTAGATACGATAGGTTAGATAGAAAGGAACAGAATTGGATAGATGAGTGGCTTCAGAAAATGGGCGTTTCTTGTTCAGGTGCCAGCCTCTGCCACTAAGTCAGTACATCGAGGAATGTGGACCATTACCTGTGATCATGTGTTGGTCTTTGGCTACGATTGAGGGTTCAAGATGACGGCTGCCTGCTTCGAAGTTGTTGAGGTTTGCTCATCCCCAGCAAAAGCTCAGCAAGTTGGGCAGCTCATGCTCAGCACATACCAGGGGAGGCTTGCTCATGCATTTATCTTTACAGAGAGATACATTGAAGCATGGAAGGGGGGGGAGGGTGACAACAAGAGAGAGACAGAGCGAGAGAGACAGAGAGAGACAGAGAGAGACCGAGACGGAGAGCGGAGGGAGCGCGGGGAACGCAGGCAGCAAAAGCAGAGACAGTTGATTTGCCATCGGACTCTAAGAGCTCGTGCCACCATACCCAAAGAGGACCTAAATTTGCGGAAGGTCTGCCAACACGGCAGGGGTGATGGCTGACAGCCACCTGTTGGCATCTAAGCAGTCGAAGATCGTCTCGTCTGGGGCTCGGACCTTTGCGGTCTGGTGATTCAAGAGGGGTGGACATCAGGCTCTCTGTGTACAACCAGGCGATTGAACCTCAAACCTTCGAGGATATTGACAGCAGAACATAGGCATCGGCACACTATTGGCACTGTAAGGCTCCACTCTCGCAGGTGGGCACTCTAGAATGTCCACCTGTCTCAGACAACGGTGAAAGTCACGACCCTCCATCCCACTACCCCAACGCCCTGACGAAGCCTGACAGCAAGCCGAGCTCGGTGTGGGAATTGAGGGCGCAAGCCCTAAACGCTAACAGGAGATGGTTTGGGTGGTTGCCTGTGGTATCATCACGGCAGGCGGGTTTTACCCACAAACCCTGGTGTGAGGTCGCGCGATCCTAGCATGGATTATCAGCCACTGCGCAAGAAGACACCCTTAGGCCCAAAACCCTGAACCTATAAGTGTATGACTTAGTATCCGGGCGAATGTCTTGCCGATGTCGCGTTCCGGTAAAGTAATGAAGTTAGACAGGTACATGGGTTCCTTTCAAAGTGCTAACTGCAGGGTTCTATTATTCTATTCTGTGGTTCCCTTTAAGGGTTCAGGGTTGAGGGTCTTAGCTCCGTTCTACTTCCCCTTTCTGGCATAGCATATAAATATACATTCCTGAATGCAAAGTTCGTTCAACAAGAAAGATGGACTACACCATCCCAAACCCGAAATCAGTCTCTGCCTGCGCAGCAACTGAAGGTCGCATTCCGGAGCCCTGGCGGGGGCAGCGCGTGTGCGGAGCACTTCGTTGCATCCTCAGGGAAATCTACCGGACTCTACCAACGGTGACTGTGAGCTTGCTGCACCTGCCGGTTCCGGGCTGTTGACCGGTTTACACCTGTTTGCTTCACACCTACAGATGCATGACAAGCTGGCCGCAACAGTTACCAACAAATGGCAAGCTGTGGAGCTGCGGTCTGGTCTCAGGAGCCGAAACCAAAGAGGCGACGTTAAAATTAAAGCAACCCGGAGTCTAAATATTGTCCCTTTCGACCCGGTAGCTAGTTAAGAACCGCTTGGGTGCAAGCCTGCGATCAAAGCGCGTTGAGGGCTTATGGATAAGGAAGAGTCTGCGCGGATCCCAGCTTGTTGAAAGATTCTTGACCGCCGCCCTCGTTGTCGCATTGCGCTGCGTGCTGGTCCCAGCGGGCGATACGCATCCCCAGGCGAGGCGGAGCATCAATCCGAACCTTGTAGCCTAACTGTCCCCAACCTAATCCCTCGACGCCCATTATAGACATGCAGCATCACATTCATTACATTATAGTATACTGTGAGACTTTCTCTGCTATGCTGCACCTCTAGCATGACATGCATGCACACGCCACAATACTGTGTCCTAGTATAGACGATGAGAACAACGACAGCTTCAGGTCATCCGGCTACTCGGAGCACGTGGAGTCCGGGACCAGGCCGGGTTTTAGGGTTTAGGGAGAACTGGTAGGTAGCCGTCCTGATCTAGTGCTTTGGGGCACGTACGGCTTTAGGGTTGTGGATTTTGAAGTTTTCTGTAGTCAACCGCAGGCTTCGTGTAAGTACTAAGTGGGAGTTTCCGAAAATTAGGGGTACCTTTTGGGGGTCCTCATAAAAGGGAGCCTACTATATTTATGGTACTATATTGGGGTTCCCTATGTTGGGAAACCCCCCCAAGTAGCCTTAAGGCTGCAAGAGATGCCATCTGACAGCTTCAGGTCTCCCAACCCCGCTGGCGCCATGAAAGACAGCTTCCGCAGAAAGCCGGAAAGCGATCGAAGCGCCACTGCCCAGAGTCGACCTCAGGAGGCTGCAGCTTCGATTTTGGGGAGAGGGCTCAACATGGGTGGTTGTCAATATTAGGGTCCCTTTTCTGGTCCTTATTTTAATACAGCACCTATTATTTAGGGTGCCCCAAAAGGGACCCTAATTTTGACAACCACCCACATAGGGGTCTGACGAATTAGTCGTCACAATACGTCCTTGTCGTCCCTGTATCAAAATTCTAGAGGCCGCAGGATGCTCCAAAATCCTACTCTTATCGTTTAGGGTCCTATATGGGAGTTTCCGAAAATAGGGGACCCTAATATAGTACCCTAAATAGCAGGATCCTTAAAATATATATATATATATATATATATATATATATGTGCCCGATACCTTTAGGGTCTATATAACCGCGGTTTGTTGTCTTCAGCACATAATGGAAAGCAAAATGTAAGGTATAAGCACAGCCCACATTACAAAGCCACGACCTGAAAAGTTTCGGATCGACTAGGCTATATTTTTCTATCAAGTAATTATAGCAAATTACTCGCATTCAGGGAGACGAGTATTATATAAACAGAACATCGAGTGTTGATCCCAACACTGCCGATGAATAAACATTCGTTGTGATGACACATTTCAGTGTATAGAGTCCATACATCTTGCAGGAATGATGTATCGTCGTGAAGATGTGCATAGCACTGTCAGCAGTATATCGGCAACATGGACAAATTGTCCTGTCCAAATATTTCACAATTCGACTTATTGTTGACTTGCCAGCGCTTGAGTAATTGCATACGACATATCCATCCAAGAATCACGTAATAAGCATGCACGCTGTAATTAGGCATAAATTTGTTTGTAATTTCCGCACAGGCCAGAATGCAAAACCTGACAGGTTCGGTACTCATGAATCGGATGTGTTTATATGACAAATTATGGGAATACATACGGCATGACACATCCATATCACATGATGTAACACTTTACAGGGCATGTAATGTGCCAATCTGTTATGTCCTGGACTTTCCAATGTATAAGTTCCTTGTCAGTAGAGGGTCAATCGGAGTGGGTGGAGTGACACATTAGGGTGCCTGTAATATGTCAATTTGATATGCCCAGGCACAGGGGCCTGACAGTGTATAAGTTCCTTGTTAGTAGGGTTTCAGTAGGAGAAAAGGAGTGACACATTAGAGGGCATGTAATATGTCAGTTTGCCCAGTCCAGGACCCAGGAAGTGAAGATACACATTTTAGTGGGTTTAATGTGCCAGTTTGTTATGTCCATACAAAGTGCTTTCCGATGTATCAATTTCTTATCAGTAGGGTTTCAATAGGATAGGTGGAGCGACACTTTCTAGGGCCTGCAGTGTGTCAGTTTATTATGTCCAGGGGTTTTCCAGTGGAAAAGTTCCATTGCAATAGAGGTTCCATAGGAGGGAGTGGAGTGACACATTAGAGGGCCTGTAATGCGTCAATTTATACTACCCAGAGGCCTTCCAATATACAGATGCCCTACAGTGTATAAGTTCCTTGCCTTTAAGGTTTCAATAGGAATAATGACACATTAGAAGGCCTGTAATGTGTCAGTTTGTTTTCCCATGTGCATTCCAATGTATCTCTGTACATATCAGATGTGATGTGATCACAGCATTAGCCAAGAAGGATATCACGTAGTTAATAAATAGTCTTCACGATCTTAACAAAGGCGCAATTATCCGTATCGAAGGTATACATTCCCATGAAGAATCCCTATAGATCCCTTCACAGATCCCTTGTATGGAGCCCTCATAGACAGCCTTTGTAGATTCGTATAGAAACTTTATAGATCCCCTATATAGAGAACTTATAGAAACCCCGTATAGATCAACAAATGGAGTTCTTTGTAGAAAACTTTACAAGATCCCTTACATGGAGCTTTCATAGACAACTGCTATATATTCCTTACCCTTTGTAGAAACCACATGGAAGCCCTGTATAGATCCCTCGTATGGAGCCCTTCTGGAAAACCCTTACAGATTGCTTATAGAAATCTTATAGATCCTCTATGTAGAGACCTTATATAAATCCATTATATAAAAAACTATAGATCCCTTACAGAGAGACTTTCTAGAAACCCATTATGGATCCCTCATATGGGGCCTTTATAGTAAGCCCGGTTACAAAGTATGTAGATGCGATGTGGTAAGCTATTCTTGATATAGTAGTTAAGATAAATCGATTGTATTATGGTTCGTACAATACCTATGAAATTACCTTTAAGAATAGAGGGAGCGGTATTAAAACCAATGAAACCGGCAACGAAGATGATGAAGATGATGAAGATGATGCAGATGATGAAGAGGATGAAGATAATGGAGATGATGAAGATGATGAAGATAATGGAGATGATGAAGATGATGAAGATGATGGAGATGATGGAGATGATGGAGATGATGAAGATGATGGAGATGATGGAGATGATGAAGATGATGGAGATGAAGAAGATGATGGGGGTGATGGATATGATGGAGATGGCAGGGGGCAGGGGGCAAATGGCAAAGGGGAGGGAAAGGTGAGGAGGTGGGGAAGGCAGGGATGGTAGGAGAGGGGGCAAGGGAACAGGGGGAGGCCTGAAATGTGTCATGCTTCTTTCTGTAAGGCGGAAAAGATGACACATTTCCGGCCTGAAATGTGTCATGCTTCTTTCTGTAAGGCGGAAAAGATGACACATTTCCGGCCTGAAATGTGTCATGCTTCTTTCTGTAAGGCGGAAAAGATGACACATTTCCGGCCTGAAATGTGTCATGCTTCTTTCTGTAAGGCGGAAACGATGACACATTTCCGGCCTGAAATGTGTCATGCTTCCTTCTGTAAGGCGGAAAAGATGACACATTTCCGGCCTGAAATGTGTCATGCTTCTTTCTGTAAGGCGGAAAAGATGACACATTTCCGGCCTGAAATGTGTCATGCTTCTTTCTGTAAGGCGGAAACGATGACACATTTCCGGCCTGAAATGTGTCATGCTTCCTTCTGTAATGCGGAAAAGATGACACATTTCCGGCCTGAAATGTGTCATGCTTCCTTCTGTAAGGCGGAAAAGATGACACATTTCCGGCCTGAAATGTGTTTCCGGCCTGAAATGTGTGGCTGCTTCTTTTCTGTAAGGCGGAAAAGATGACACATTTCCGGCCTGAAATGTGTCATGCTTCTTTCTGTAAGGCGGAAACGATGACACATTTCCGGCCTGAAATGTGTCATGCTTCCTTCTGTAAGGCGGAAAAGATGACACATTTCCGGCCTGAAATGTGTCATGCTTCTTTCTGTAAGGCGGAAAAGATGACACATTTCCGGCCTGAAATGTGTCATGCTTCTTTCTGTAAGGCGGAAAAGATGACACATTTCCGGCCTGAAATGTGCCATGCTTCTTTCTGTAAGGCGGAAAAGATGACACATTTCCGGCCTGAAATGTGTCATGCTTCTTTCTGTAAGGCGGAAATGATGACACATTTCCGGCCTGAAATGTGTCATGCTTCTTTCTGTAAGGCGGAAAAGATGACACATTTCCGGCCTGAAATGTGTCATGCTTCCTTCTGTAAGGCGGAAAGCGATGACACATTTCCGGCCTGAAATGTGTCATGCTTCTTTCTGTAAGGCGGAAAAGATGACACATTTCCGGCCTGAAATGTGTCATGCTGCTTTCTGTAAGGCGGAAACGATGACACATTTCCGGCCTGAAATGTATCATGCTTCCTTCTGCAAGGCGGAAAAGATGACACATTTCCGGCCTGAAATGTGTCATGCTGCTTTCTGTAAGGCGGAAACGATGACACATTTCCGGCCTGAAATGTGTCATGCTACTTTCTGTAAGGCGGAAAAGATGACACATTTCCGGCCTGAAATGTGTCCCTAAACCCTAAACCCTAGAGCCCAAACCCTAGGCCCTAAACCCTAAAGTCCAAACCCTAGGCCCTAAACCCTAAAGTCCAAACCCTAGGCCCTAAACCCTATAACCCAAACCCTAGGCCCTAAACCCTAAAGCCCATGCCTAAACCCTAGGCCCTAAACCCTAAAGCCCAAACCCTAGTCCCTAAACCCTAAAGCTCAAACCCTAGGCCCTAAACCCTATAGCCTAAACCCTAGGCCCTAAACCCTATAGCCCAAACCCTAGGCCCTAGGCCCTAAACCCTAAAGCCAGCCCATTCGAAAACCTAGCTGAACACTGGTTTTGGGTTAGCGGCCCAGCCTGCGGAGTGGGTCGAGAAAAGGGGACAGGTAATGAGGTATTGGGGGGGAAGGGAGGGTGGCGTGGGGGCAGGGGTGTTGGAGGTGGATTCTGGGGTTGGGGGGTGGGGCTGGATTAGAGGTCAGGTGGTGGGGCAGGGAGCCGGGGGCAGGGCGCGGGGACAGTCAATTATTTCAGTTATTTCAATTATTTGGGCCCTCTGGCGGATTTAAATAATTGAAATAATTGAAATCCGAAAGCTCCATGGGCCCAAGCCACCAAATCCAGTGGTTTGAATAATTGAAATAAATGAAATGGGGCTGCTTTCAATTATTTCAATTATTTGGGCCCTTTGGCGGATTTAAATAATTGAAATGGGTCGGATTTCAATTGTTTCAAACATTTCAATTATTTCAATAATTCAAATCGGTGGGATTCGTGGCTTGGCCCATAGCAACCATCGATTTCAATTATTTCAGTTATTTCAATTATTTGGGCCCTCTGGCGGATTTAAATAATTGAAATAATTGAAATCCGAAAGCTCCCGGGGCCCAAGCCACCAAATCCAGTGATTTGAATAATTGAAATAATTGAAATGGGGCTGATTTCAATTATTTCAAGTATTTGGGCCATCTGGCGGATTTAAAAAATTGAAATAATTGAAATGGGTCGGATTTCAATTGTTTCAAATATTTCAATTATTTCAATAATTCAAATCGGTGGGATTCGTGGCTTGGCCCATAGCAACCATCGATCTCAATTATTTCAATTATTTGGGCCCTCTGGCGGATTTAAATAATTGAAATAATTGAAATCCGAAAGCTCCATGGGCCCAAGCCACCAAATCCAGTGATTTGAATAATTGAAATAATTGAAATGGGGCTGATTACAATTATTTCAATTAGTTCAATTATTTGGGCCATCTGGCGGATTTAAATAAGTGAAATAATTGAAATCCGAAAGCTCCATGGGCCCAAGCCACCAAATCCAGTGATTTGAATAATTGAAATAATTGAAATGGGGCTGATTTCAATTATTTCAATTATTTGGGCCCTTTGGCGGATTTAAATAATTGAAATAATTGAAATGGGTCTTGTTTCAAATATTTCAATTATTTCAATAATTCAAATCGGTGCGATTCGTGGCTTGGCCCATAGCAACCATCGATTTCAATTATTTCAATTATTTGGGCCCTCTGGCGGATTTAAATAATTGAAATAATTGAAATCAGCTCTGCTGATTTAAATTATTTCAATTGTTTCAATTATTTAGAATATTGGTAGTTATTAAGGAAAAGAATGGAGCGTAAAATAGACCCTAGAGTCTAGAGGCGCCTTTCTCATATATATATATATATATATATATATATAAGGACCCCAAAATAAGGTACCCGTAATTTTCGGAAACTCCCATATCGAGGTTGAGGCTTCGGAGGCCTTTGCTATCGGTTTGGGCGAGGAAGCCTGGAAATCATCAGGAAGCCCTGGAGTTGACATGAAAGTGAGTGTGTCTCTCATCATCACCTGGGCCGTCAGCAACATCATCGCGAAAATGCTGCCACCGGAAGTGTTTGCTCCAGACGTTAAATTTACTGCTGCAGTTTCTGGTCGCATGACCATGAGCAACACTGGCAGCAACGGCAAAGGTCTTACAGAGACGTGTCGCCTGGTCCGCCCGCCGCTCCATCGATGCACCCGCCGAGTGCCACAGTGGGTTTTTGGGGGTTTCGGGCTTGCTGCAATGGGCACTTCAGCTCGCGTCCCTGAGTGCGTCATGCACATCAATTTCCAGAAAATCGGTTAACTCGGCATTGGATTGCATGCCAAGGGCATGCTTGAGGGAAAGGTGAAAACCATCGTGGTTTGCATGACGGTGAGAACAATCAAGACCATGCCTGAATGCTTAGAACACAAGCGCGTTGGTGGTGCCGGTGATGGGGCTTGTCGGGGACAGTAGAACACCGTCAAAGCAGCATCATGTTGTTGATGGCAATGCTTCGAGACAATGAAGACGTTTTCATGGTGTTGGCGATGCTGGTGACTGAGGGCAATGATGATGAAGATGATGATGATGATGATGGCTGTGGTGGTGAGCTTGCATAATGCAGCCGTCGTTGCTGATGATGACTTGATAATGCAAAAAAGGATGGGGAAGAGTCTGATGGTTCATTCTCGTATTTGGAAGACTTTCGCGGCCATGGCCGCGATGTACTCGGAGTGGTGATTAGTCTTCAGTTGCTGCTGTCGTTGCTCGCCAAACGATGATTGGTGCATACGGCTGCATACGTTCGCCATACAGCCAAGCCGTTTTGAGAGTTAGTCAGTGCCCACACAAAGACGACTGGAACTGGGCTAATGCTTCGGAGCTTCTCGCTTCAAGAATGATCTTGCTCAGCTAACATTTAGTCAAGTTGAACCAGTTGTTCGCACTTGGAGGTGGAAGGGTCCCTGACTCCCTCGTGCACACGCGCGCGCATACACCCTCTTACAGAGTCTAGCAAAGTTTGAAGTCTTGCTTCGCAAGTCCAGACGCGACTAGTACATGGAAGTATTCCATACTGCTTCCACTGTTTTTCTCGAGGACCCGCGTAGGAGTATTCCGTAGTGTAGTTGAGCCCATGCCCCATGCTGTTTCAAGGATCCGCAGCAAAGAAGCCCCATGGCCCAAAACGCCGCAAGAAATGAAAGCCCCCTAAACCCCTAAACCCTAAAGCCACAAACCCTAAACCCGAAAAACATCCGAAAACCCTAAGGCCATAAACCCTAAACCCTAAAATCCAAAAGCCTTGATTTCCAAGAAAACATAAAGCTCCAAGACCATCCTCCGCCGGTGCGCTGCCTGAAGCTCCCCGTTCCGCTGCCGGCATGCGGGGGTCCCGAGCATAACGTCACGCAGGAATCGGATTCGGGGTTAGGTTTCCCTAAACCCTCAACGCTAGACCCTACTGGCCCCGAAGAGCACAACGTAGGAATCTGATTCGGGATTAGTTTGGGGCGTTCAGGTTTAGGGCTCTAGAGCTTTTGGTTCAGGACTTGGGGCTGTAGGATTCAATGTAAGAAAACTGGACTGAAATTCCGGGTTCTTAGGGTCCGAGTCGTTTCGGAATACGGAGCCTTGCTTTCGCTGCATTTCCTGCATGACAGCCGCCTAGACGGTTTATGCTTTCTCCGTATTAGCTGCGTTCAGAGATATCCCGGCTTTGGGGGTGCAATTTTGTTATGAGATTGCAGCTGTCTGTGCAGACCGCTCTCAAAAAAGTATCCACCCAGCAATCGTGTGAATCTGCGAAAATGCGCAGGTCGGCACATACCCGAGCTCCCAAAGCTGCGGATGCGCAGTCAAGGCTGGAGCCACTGGCTGGTAAAACTCCGATTGCGTTTGTTCATGTATGAAGCAATGCTGGCGAAGCTGTTCATTGCTCAGATATGGGAGTTTCTGAAAACTGGGGGGTACCTTATTTGGGGTTTCTTATAATAAGGATCATCTTATTTAGGGTACTATATTGGGGTCCCCTATTTTCGGAAACGCCCATATAAAGATACATATAAGCCGACAGATCGGTGTGTGTGCCGAACGACGTGTTTCTGTAAACGTACGCTATGCCTTTACTAAGCGTAGCACGAAAAGTGTTGAGGACGACAATTCAGGTGAATGAGACTCAGAAATTTCTCGCATTTTTATGGCGTAAATATGTTGCCCCGTGCTACTACACCAGTGTGTTCGGATTTAGAAGCACAGCACCAGTGTGTTCGGAATTAGAAGCAGGAGCCTCTTGTCACAGCATTTGTTCCGGCAATGTTGGTGTGAGGGAACTTCGCACACTTAAGGAAAAGAAGACCGGACCCTAAGCCCAAAAAAGCAGGAGATCAAAGCGATCTCTTTCGTCTCTTTATCACTACACTGAAATTCCTCTTCTTGAGTTTGGTCTGCAGCTTTTGGTTGTAGAGCAGTGACCGCCGACACCTAGGTGTAGTCTAGTCAAAGTACTTGTGAACCGAGAGACCTCGCTTTTGCGGAGTCCGAGTTGCGAGAGCGGGAACCTCAAAAAGCCACGAACTCGCCCAAATCCTATGGCTCGCAAAAACCTTTGGGGTTAACCCTATTCACAAGGCAAGGATGGATGCAGAGAACCACCCATCGAGCCCTTGTGAAAGTTACTACTAATAAGTGCTATCTGAATATCAAGATCTGTATTAGTTACTACTAAATACTCTTATGATTATTGTCATTAGGAGTACGGTTATTGTTATGATTGTTATTATTCTTCTCACTATTTTATGACTACTGCTACTGTTCTTGTGATTATTGTTGTCTTCATTGAGTGTTATTATGAGTTATGATTATTGTGAATGTTGGGAAGGCTCCAGGTGCTTCATGTACAAGTAGCCAGGGCAAGCTTCTTTATCCCGGCATCCAGATTTCCAGAGCCGGAAGAGTTGGAGGTCAGCGAAGGACGAACCTGGACAGTGCAATGAGCATATGAAGAAGGGCGGTTGGAGCGGAGCATTGGAGCTCACTAACATAGAAGCCTGAGTCTTTAACGACTTTCATAGTAGGACTGCGGCTCCCTGATAGTATATAGAGCAAACCCCCAAAGCCTTTTTTTGGCACAAGTGCGAATCCTGTTTAGCAATGTATCACGCCGACAGTGCACCCAAGAGCCTCGCCTGGCTGAGTCCGAGTTGTGAGAGCGTAAAGCCTTTTGTTAGTGCTCATGCAGAAGCCCAGCGTTATCCTAAGCCCTTAAGGGCTTCTTACTGACCCTGCGCAGGTCTCCAAGCAGGTCGCAGGCAGTCCAGACGAGCCAGACGCAGCGAGGAGCCTTGCAGCCGGGAGCCCCGGAGGGGAAGGTCGGCGACAACAGCGATCTATGCTTCAATGCCTTATCCTCGAGATTGGATGGAGATTGCGATCTATGCGTACACAGGTAGACACATCTGCAATGATTCACGTGTACGTGTGCATCTGCATGTTGGGTAGCCCCCCGCCGCCTCCTTTCAGGGTACGCTAGCGCATCAGAGAAGTATGAAGCACCTCCGAAGGGACAAGGCTATCCTCTGCGGATAATGGGAGAACAGTGGTTCTTACGGTGTGCTGTCGGCTTCAGCTGCATTGCAGAATCCTATGACTGTTTTGCTATCGTCCCACTGTTCGACACTAGATCGCTCAAGCTCGATTAAAACAAGGTGATCTTCCCAAAGACCTAACACTGACCTAACCATGGTGCAGCACGCAAACCTACCACAGCGGATTGTGACACCGTCGGCTGGCAGCCCTATGAATCCCGACATACTAGTCGCATCCTGCGCTGCTTGTTAGTCCACGTGTGTTAAGAGACACGGCATTCGCAAAGCCCTGTCTCACTGCTTCTCTTAACTGCTTCAAGTACGCAAGGTCGCGCCGCGACAGCGTCCCTCAAGCCCATCGACATGCATGCAGGCGTATGTACATACATACATCTTGTTGTTTTTGCTTTTGTAGCGTTGAGTTCAAGTTGAACGCGGCCCTATTGCCTTGCCTCAAATTAACACCACGATCGCCCACAGCCTCTGTATGTACTCGAGCCTACGTACTCGGACCGGGAACAGAAATCAGCGGTGTTAAGGCACGAAGCTGCAGAGGCCGAAAAGCCTTCCACTGTGTAGCCGGTCTGCCGTCAAAAACAAAAGCACTGCAGCAGCCAAGTTTACCCTCACGCTGAGTGCCAAAACCTGTTGGATGGTAGCGCAGACGACAAACGCGCTAGTGCTGAAAGTTCTCCACCTTGTCATTGGCGATGCTTGCACACGCACCATGCTCAAAGACGGGCGTCTTGTCGCAGCGACGCGGCATGACACAGCATTGAGTAAAGCCCGGCCTTCGCATGAAATCGTTGTCCGCCAGGCAGATTACCAACTGCTTTCCAGTCTACAGCAGGTGCCCCCAACCAGCGGACAACATACCCTTGGCGAATCCGGTAGCAGTGTCCCAGACCATAGTCGGGAAGCCACGACAAATGTTGGCCAGTGTTACAGCGCCGAGCATGTTTGGCACACGGCACAAATCATGCAGGGTCGTGAACAGCCCGTGTCCCCGAACCTGAGATTTCAGGTCCTCAGGTAGCGGCTCCCAGACACCCGTAAGCTCCGAGCCAGCCGCCCAAACAGGCACCGGACCACACCATCCCGGAGAGCCCAATGCCCCTTAATTAAGGAATATATCTGAAATAGTAAGGGGATTAATATTATGATTTTAGCTATATTCCGTTATTAAGGGTTATTGGGCTCTCTGGGATTGCCTCGTGTCCACGTCGCTGATGCAATGAAACAGTGCGGCCTCTCGAAGGACCAAGCGCCGTTGAACGTAACACCAACGTCTGAAGAGAAGAGCATGACGCTCTCTCCGGCACCATACACACCAGATGATAACTGAGTAGGTGTGCAGGGAGCCCATTTTTCAAGGCTGTCGCAATGCACATCCCCGAGAGGCTGCGTAGTTAGAGCCAGCCATAAGCTCCTTCGGAAGTCGAGTCTTTTGCAAGTTGAAGGTCGTGTGCAAACAGCTCCGACCAGCCTACATCCACAATCTTTGCCACTCCACAACTACAGAAATTGTCATAGGTAGGCCAAATATTGTGGTAACCAACATCTGTGCATGCTGGCGAGCACGTGCCTCCACCTCCACGGCATCTGCTTTATCGCCAGGCTTTCCACGAGGGCAATTGCAAGTGAACTGGGGATTCGGACCAAGTGCTTGCTGGCACTTGGTCCGAAACCCTACATACCTACATACGTACATACATGCAGAAAAAAAACAAGCCCCATGAAGAACATAAGCCCTATAAGCCCCAAAAGGCCCTAAACCCCTGAACATTCCAACCTACTTCTGCAGACCCTGCCAAGCCCTATGAACAACATAAACCCCATAAGCCCTAAAAGCCCTAAACCCCGGAGCATTCCTAAGCACCCCGGAGCTTCACGAGGCCTGTGCAGCCGCACTTGCGAGGAGCTGGGCTCCGGTCTCAGCCACCCAGAGCGCCCAATACTCCTTAATGAAGGAACATATGAATTCAATTCCCTTGTAAATCAAGGTATATAGCTTATATCCCAGTACGACTGCCGGTTAGGATGCAGGAGTCATGTTGAAAAGGAATGATTGAGGGAGGCATAGTTTGGCACACTCATGTAGCAACTGAGAATGAGAATGAACAGTCTTTCCATGCTTGCTCGACTGATCGCGTTGGAGTTCTTGATCACCAATTTGCCATTCCATAAAAGAGAGTGGTCTTTGAACAACTAGAAACATTTCATCCGGTAGATGATCTCGTAATAGTCTGTACTGTCGTTTATGCCCGAAAGCAGACCCTAGGCCGTATGCCCCCCTTGACCGCCGTACCCCCGGAGAGCCCAATACCCCTTAATTAAGGAATATACCTTGAATTATGAGGGTGTTGGCGTCGCCCTTGACCTTTGGGACCTCCGCATTTGGAAAGATTTAGCCATTTTGCACAAGGTCAACGTTATTTGAGGCGCATCTCTACCCAGAGGCCCCATAGTAGCTCCTTTTGGGGATTACCTTTTAAGATTCTGAAAATGAACCCCAAAAAGGAACTACTTTGGGGCCTATGGGTAAAATTGTCATTCTAGCTTCTCCAGGTCCAAGGATGCAGCTGAAGGCACCGAATTCGGGGAGACCTCACAACTGGCAAATCCGGCGCCTCGAGTTGTCAGTCTGTAAGGCTACGGCCCAACACTGACATTCCTTGAAACTCTGAACCTGATAAGCCCTAAACTCCCTAATCCCCGCAAGCCGGTCAACCCCCCCAACAGCCCAGGGCCTGAATTCCTGACCAATCCCCCGGCCTTTTGCAACGAAAGGTCACCGGGTCAGTCCGATGGTTTGACTTCTGCCAAAGCTCGGCCGGATCCCAGCACAATGTCGGGGGTCCCAGGCTTGGGTTGAAGCTGTTGGGCTCCCCACACCCCCGCGAGGATCCAAGAGCAGATCCCTTGATGGGGGTTCCTATAAAGCACCCTTAGTAGTATAGGGCCCCCAAATTAGGGGATCTGCTTTCTACATCCAGGGTCTTTCAGGTTCAGGTGGGCCCGAGGAGGAGCATGATCGAACTGCGTCTTCGTGTGTTGAGTCTTCTGGCCAATACCTGGACCCTAAGGAACCAAGGTCACGTGGGGTTAAGGTAGGGAGAATTAGAATAGGGTCTTTTGTGGGGCTCCTTATTATAGCTATCGTAGAGTATACCCCCAAAACCCAGCTCAAATTAGCTGCATGGCGCTTCTGCTCGGCAGAGGAGAGGGTTAAGCACGCAAAATGGTGCAAATGCAGACATGTCGGGTTTAGGGTTTAGGGTTCCTGTCGTCGGAGAGCCAAGGTCCCCGCGATTGCCGGGTGGTTCTGGGCAGGGGCCCTGGCCCCTGGTCAGAATTTGGCAATACGTCTTTTGAGCTTGAGGAACCGTGAGAGCCCAATACCCCTTAATTAAGGAATATAGCTTTAAAAAAATCACAATATGAATCCCCTTATAATTTGAGGTATATTCCTTAATTAAGGGGTATTGGGCTCTCTGGGAATACGGTATAAGGTGCTTGTGGATCGCTTCCATCTCGTCATTTGTTTTTTTGCTCAACGGTCGCCGTGAGACCCGGTGCACAGGGGCGGATGCCCTCATCCGACGAACTCGGGTTTAGGTCACGGTAGTTCCCGGGAGGGTGAATCGTAGCAATTGCGCGAGAAACCACCGGCGGCAAGCGGAATGATCGTCCTGGTCGTCGCAGTGACACTCAGTAGTACCAGCGTGCCTGCAACAGGAAGCAGGAGGACCCAGAGGCGCATGATCCGATTCTGCAGCCGAACGATCAGCACGTAGTGATAGATCAATATGTATACAGTATCCGTTTGGCGCAGTGCTGCAATTCGTGTATCCTGGAGGTCATCCAAGTCCAGGACGAAAAGCCCCGGAGAAAAGGCTGAAGCCGCGTTGGGAACTCAGCTTCTTTGTTCTGCCTGCGACTGCAGCGTCCGGGAATCAAAATCGAGCCCTAACAGCGGTCCTGTTGCTACCAGGAAGCCCTCAAAGCCCTTGGCTGCGGCTCAAGCCTATGCCTAGCACGACCTAGTTCCAAGTCTCGACTGTAGCATCTCATTATTGCTGCGCTATCGGGAGATTGTGGCATGGTGCAATTACTCGCGACCTTGTGCATCTTCGCTCACATCTGCATCAGCCGCGCAGGTGATGTGTGCAGTTCACCGAATTCACCAGCTTGTGGGGAAAACAGGACCACGAGTGGTGGCAACTTGTTCATACAGTTCCGGCAGGGCATCACCAGAGTGCGAGAGCCGGCAAAGCCAGTGGTATGGGTCGCTCAGCCCTTCGGCGACTGCTTTCGCCCTTGCACGGACTCCCCAGACCTGAAGCCTTCGCAGGTTCGGACACGCGGCTGCTTCACCATCGATGGCGAAGAAGTGTCTGAGGAGTTGTGCGCAGGGCTCCCGAGGCCTGCTCTCACAAGGCACTGCGGCTGCGGCGTGCTGGGCTGCGACGAGAATGTGTGCAAAGACTTGCCTCCGGATACCGAGGACACAACCGACAATGAGGACGACGAGCACTTTGAGTGCTTGGGCTGCTTCCCAGTAGCCGAAGAGGAATATCAGAGTCAGTTTCTGGAGAGCAAGGAGGTCTCCGTTTTGGACGAGACGTGTATCGACTACGATGGGCAAAATGGCCCCTGCCGTGGTGGGATGCCTTTCTTCCGGATGCGCAGCAATGCAATGACGCCTGTCATCTGCTTCGAGCTCCTTAGTAGCCGAGTGGATACACTTTACACTTTGGGATAACATGACCTCGTATAAAAGCTGAAAGTGTGCACCTTCTTGGGGGACTTAGGAACTATAAGGGTAACTAAGGTTCTGCATCGGGGAGGGCCTGGACCTCTTCGCTTTGGTGCAAGGCGTGGAGTGTCGCTGCGGCGCAACGGCCTTGAACCTGGTGGGGGTTTCCGAAAATACTGGTAGGGGACCCTAATATAGCAGCCTAAATAGTAGGATCCTTAATAAGGTACCCCTAATTTTCGGAAACTCCCAGGTGTGGCAAGGGAAGAAGCCTCGGCCGGGACTTCAGCTCCCACCGACGATGCAAAGCAGCTGCTTGGAGGAAGGCGAGTGCCCAATGCGCGTGTATCGCTGGAAAGGCCCCTTCGTGGCAGGTGGCTCAGTGCAGAGCCATCTGCTGAAAATCTCAGAGGGTGACCAGGCCCACGTTACCGGCGTGGTGCTTGGCCACCGCATCGGACACATGGATGGCACCGAGCCCGAGGTGGCGATGGGAGATTCTTTGGCCCAGACGGACTCGGGCACGGACGCAGACCGGATCGATCCCAACTGGCTCAGGAACTGTCCCGAGTGCAACGCTGGCAGACACTGGTGGGAGCGGTCAAATGAGACGCCGGAGGGCATGATCGATCAGTGGGTGGACGTCGTCGTCGTCAGGTACAACTGGGCTGCCAGCTGCGTGGATGATGAGGTCCGTAAGGAGGCCTTCCGTGCTGCAGCAGAGGTGTGGCGAACCGAGACCTGTATTGCCTTGATCGAGGATCACACGCGTGTCCAGGGCCAACAACACATCAGGGTGAACAAAGCGTCAGGTGGTTGCTCGGCCACAATTGGTCGCGCGAAGCCCAGCGAGGTGTACCTGGGATGGTGCAACAGCATGGGGCAAAGGGGCAACATTGTTCACGAGACTGGGTTCTTGTTAAGGACTTTGAATGTAGTTGAAGTTGCCATAATGGGGTTTAGTCAATTATAGAGTCAATTGAATGGGGTTTCCTTACCATCGGATTTGGAGGTAAGTTCCTTAGCAAGAACCCAGGAGATTGGCCACACCCTGGGTATGCACCACACGCAGCAGCGCATGGATGGTCCTCAGGAGTATCATGGCTATGGTCCCCATTTGCAGGTCTACTGGGAGAACGTGGCCGACAACTGGAAGGCGCAGTACGTCCCAAAAGGTGGCCCTTACACCGGCTCTGCTTACGACGGTCCTAATGATGTCTGGGTGGGCCATGCACCCTACGACTTCGAGAGCATCATGCACTATCCTCGCCAGACTGGCGGGAATGGGCCTTACTACGACACCATTCCTTCGACCAACAACGGCCTCGTCGGGCAGAGAGGGCGCCTTTCTGAAGGTGATATCTTGCAGATGACGGACATGTACAACTGCGTGCGTAAGTCGGCAACTACGACGACAACCACCACAACTTCGACGACCACTACCACAACAACTACTACGACCACGACATCCACAACTACAACGACAACCACGACAACAACAACCACGACTACCACGACTACTACAACTACAACTACCACTACCACAACTACAACGACAACAACGACAACGACCACAACAACCACCACAACCACGACTACCACCACCACCACCACCACCACCACCACGACCACTACGACGACCACTACCACAACTACAACGACCACAACAACGACCACAACAACCACGACCACCACCACCACCACCACCACTACTACGACGACCACTACCACAACTACAACGACCACAACAACTACCACAACCACAACTACCACTACCACCACGACCACCACGACCACTACGACCACCACGACAACCACGACGTCAACTACCACGACGACCACTACCACCACCACCACCACCACCACTACCACCACCACCACCACCACTACCACCACCGCACCCATGACCACGACAGCGGGTCGCCGACCTGCAACATCTATAGAGACCGGGCGGATCACCATAAGTACGCCCGCATGGACAGCCGTCAGTTTCCAGAACCCTTTCGGCGAGGTGCCCATTGTCGTGACAGCTCCCACGGAAGACTTCTCTGGGCCAGCGTCCGTTCGCTTGACGGACGTGACCACGACTGGGTTCAAGGCTGTCGTTGCCGTGTCTCCTGGCACCGCGGTGAGCAGTGGCACCATGGAGGTCTCCTTCCTGGCTGTGGCTCCCGGGCTTCACCAACTGCCAGGTGCCAACGGGCTGTGGCTGGAGGCAGGGACAATCTCGATGAAGAAGGTCCAACAAGGGAAGAAATGCCGAGACAACAGCATGTCAAGATCATGGTCAAAAGTGGACTTCTCACATTCCTTTGCCGAACCCCCGGCTTTCCTGTCCACTGTTCAGACAACCAACAACGAGATCGGCCTACCAACCGGGACTTCGCAGCCGTGGTTCACAGTCGCAACCAACTCCGTTCACAATGCGGATGCTTGGGTCTCCCTGGACCTCTCCGAAACGGGTCAGGTGTCTGTTCCCCACGTCAAAGTGGATGAGGTCATAGGCTGGGTGGCAGTGCAAAAAGGCACCTACACCTTCCAAGATGCGCGAGGAGCTTCGGTAACTTGCGCTGCTGCCGTTTCGGAGAGAACCGTCACCCACAAGACGAAGTCCCTGTCTTTCGGAGCTGACTTGGGGGCCGCCCCGCTGGTGGTTGCGAGTCAGTCGACTAGGTGGGGCGGCGATGGTAGCTGGGCCAAGATCGTGGGAACGACATCGGCATCAGTCCAACTCAAGGTGCAAGAAGACCAAACCTGCAACGATGAGACCGGCCACACGAGAGAGGTCATTTCCGTTGCTGCATTTTCCAGCGTTTGTACTCTGTGAACACGTGTGAGGCAAGCCAGATAGCCGTTATGCTGGATGCTTCCGCTTAGACCACGATAACCGGCAGAGGTGCTGCTCTTTCAGCGCAAGCACTGTCCTGACTTTGTAAAGCCCGGGCCTTCGGCCATGCGATTCCCATTCGAGACACGCAGGCTGAAGGCCAAGCAGTCAGGTGCCGGATTTGTCCGGCTCTCTCATGCCATCTTCAGCTTCGGCTGGTGCAGGGACTTCTGAGAGGGTCGCCAGTTTGCAATATTTCACATGTTTGAACGTAGCTTATCAGCATGCGGCGGATGTGCGCCGCGCAGATGAGTACAGACAAAAACAGTCTACACTGATCTGGAAGCCGCTTTTGAGCATCCGACCGCACCGAGGCGCTTGGGAAGCAGGATCATGCTTGATTATAAATTCAGAGTGCGCGATACATCCTCTTGGTTGTCTTTCTCTTTCGTTCTTTGATGCCTTCCTCCCTGCGACATTTTTAATGAGTCATTTGAAGTCGTGCTCCGAGTTTTGGGCCAACAGGCCAAGATGGGAGCTGAGACATGGCCAGCAACTCCGGGCGCTGTAGCCCTAAAAGGGGACCCTATTATAGTGATTCTAGAACCCCAAAGTAAGCCCTTTATAACTTTGTCATAGTTGGGTAACATTTTACATTTTACGGGTACTTAAACCCAATAAGGAAGAAGAATTTAAATTATTAATCCTATCCCAACCATGAACTAGATAAGGGGGCCTTAAAATAGAACCCCAAAGTAAGCCCGAAGCTTAGAGTCATCACCGCTGTGTGTTGGATTGAAGCGGCGTGAGCTGGCGAAGCAAATTCCTGCAAAGTCCGACAAGTGGACCAGCTTTTCAGCATAGTCTTCTGGACCCTGTCCTGGCGGCTCTGGTCGCCTGAGGTGTTGCAGAACTACGAATTTCTGAGAAATCTGGGTATCTGAGGGGGGTTACAGGCCTTCGGTTGCTCCTTCGCAAGACCTCAGGACTGACGAGAGGTAGCTGGTCCTTATGGATCTAATTAACACCACTGACTTAGAGCAATGCCTCTTTCTCTCACCTTCTTGATTCCATCATTGCACCTAGGGCATGGGTCTGGTTGAGTCATGGCATGCTTCCGATTACTGGCGAGGTGGCCAATCGCATCGGGAAGGAAGGTGTATTCTGGAAGCACATTCACTCAGACAGTTCCGAAGCGAGAAACTCATCTGCTTCGTCCGAGTGCGAGGGCACACACTCGAAGCCCTGGCCAATGTTTCTACGGCTGCCGTCAGGCCCACACGTGCCCTCCCAGGCGGCGCAGGGCCTGAAGCTCAGGGGGGCGCGGGGGCTTAAGGAATCGGAGGTTCCGAGCAGGCACACCCACACACAGGTGTAGTTATGCAAACTCATTCATATTTGTATGTGCATACATATTATGTATCGTGTTTACATGTGGGTGGTTGTCACAACAATGGTCCCTTTTTGGGTACCCAAAATATTAGGTGCCGCATTATAAGCCCTGCGGCATGTTCAGCTGGGCGGGTGGCAAAATTATAATCGGGACCCAAAAAGGGACCATACTTTTGACAACTACCCATGTGTACATATGTATATATATATATACATATACATATAATATATATATAGCAACCACATAGGTTATATATATATATATACACACATGCTAGTACACACATATTATGTTTCTGTGTATATGTACATGTGAATATATAGACACAGAGGGTGACATTCTTTATGATTACATGGCTTGGGGCTGCCAGTATTCGAGGAAGACCCGCTCGCATGTAAAGCACTTCATGGCTGGGCGTTGCGGCATTGCCCCCGGTCCGTGGTTGAAGAGGTATGTGCCGCCCTTTGTGGAAAAAAATGTTATTCCAGCTGTAAAATAAATCCTATTAAATCCTAAATACCCTAAACCCCACACTAAACCCTAATTATGTGTACCCCCATGAAGTTGTGATTCGGTGGTCAGACTTTGAGGCCCGGGATGCAGCAGTCACGGAATCTCACGCAAGACTATGTATGTGCTTCCTGGCGAAGGTGGATCGTTCCTAACGCTAAACCGAACCTGGCTCGAAGTCCTGAATTCAATATTTCCAGTGAGTTCCCCCAAGAATCACCAACACATAGAAAAAGTTGGATATGTTTATAGTATGTTGAACTCGGGCATACCATACGTTACTTCAGTATGTATATATATATATATATATATATATATATGTATATCACCAGGAGTGAGCTTTCCAGCAGAACTTGGGTTTTTTCTAAGGCCTGCTGGCATGCCGGTGGTACATCGCCAAGATGGGACTGCAGCTGCTCAGAGCGGAGCAGCGCAGGGCTCCCAGAATTTCGGTTCTTTTCAGAAGATTTGGGAGTTTCCGAAAATAGGGGGTACCTTATTTGGGGGTCCTTTTAATAAGGATCCTACTATTTAGGGTAGTAGATTAGGGTCCCCTATTTTCGGAAACCCCCATTTTGACAGCTGGAAGCATTCGAAGCAGTGCTAGCATTCGCCCATCGAGGCCATCCAAGTCCAGGCCGCGAAGCCCCGGGCAGGGAGCTGAAATCGAGTTGGGAACTCAGCTTGGCTTTGCAGTTACTATCCGCGTGGGGATGAGCCGTAAACCATGGCGGCAGCATCGACGCTCTAAGATTCCAGTTCTGTCGGATGGGGTTTGGCCCTTAGCACACACTTCCTAAGCCCAAACCATCCCAAACCAAAAGGCCCTCGACCCCTTCAACCCTTCACCTAACCATGCCAGCGAGGTCCACGCGTGCACGCCCTGGCGGTGCGGGGTATGGGGCTCAGGCGTTCCCTGTAACGGCTTGTACATGAAGACGATGGCTCATCCTCAGACCGATAAACATTCTAAATTTTTCGGAGGACTCTGCGGTAAACGATGAAAGGCACCAAGTCACACTGCTCCGGATTCCGCGTGGCCCGGATTGTTACCGCGCAGGAGGCACATGATATGCACATCACCACCTCACAGCAGCGGAAATGCGAAAGTTCTCAAACTCAATCTTTTCGGGAGGCATCAGCAGCGATTGACACTCCCTCAACACCTTGTTGGGTGGAAACCCTAAACCCCAACGTCAGGTTTCAGGCACAACACCCTGGAGATGAAGGCGTTGCGGGACCTTCGTTTACGGTAAAGGTAATTGTTTCATCGACCACAGCGCCAGTTCAAAGAGACCTCTTTGTCTCAAAACTCTGCAGCCCCCTGCACACGTGCCAGGTCTCGTCTTTCAAGACACCGAGTATGGAACACCACATTACCTAACTACAAAGAAGAGAACCCGACAGCACATGCCAGGATGCAATGAGTCCTTGATCCTCTACGACCTCCCAAAACTACAGTCCTCTTACCCAAGAGAATATGAAAAAAATTGTTGTGGTTCTAAGGGGTGTATAGAAAATCGATGAAAATCGAAAGAGCTCATTGTCCCCCGAGGCCGAGGGCGGCGAAGTCGGAAGCTCCGGCCGCCCCATCCCGAAGGACTCCCGCCGGGCCGGAAGCCGCCATGGCGCCGGCGACTGAGACCGCTTTGCTTGCGCTCCTGGGCAGAGTGGGGGGGGGGGGGGGGGATTTTTGGCGAAATCAGGACAACGCTCGATCACCCACATGGCGTCAGGATGGGAGCTGAGATGATCTGCAAGAGAGTTTGGGGCCTTCTGGACGCGATGCAGATTCCGGGATATGCACCGGACTCCCTTTCCGTCAGCCTTCGTCGCAGGTCTTCAAGCTCGCCCAGGTATGAGACCGCCATGAGGTGGGGTCTGAGATCTCCTAGAAGCCCAGTTGTCCCAAGCAGCGCGTCTCTGTATTAATCAAAGGCAAGTTTCAAATCTATGGATCCCTACAAAATACCGACCTTGAGCAGGGCATGGTCCCCTTACTTGCGGGACAGCCTCATGTAGGTAGCTCCGCTTTTGATGGTTGTGTCCACGATGTTCATTTCAAGTGAGGCCCCGCTCGAGCCCGCTGTCTTCCATATATTGGTGCTACAGTGCTTCAAATCCGGATAATGACTAGCATGTGTAGTGTTCATCGTTCTTGTTTTTGTTAATTTGTTGAGCACGATGAGCCCTACCAACAGAGCTTCTTTAGCTGCTCAGTGCTCAGATGGCTCATTCTCGGATGCCATGGAACAGTGCTGAGATGCCTCAGACAATATCTCAATTGATGAGCAGTTCAGTGCAGGACCCCTGCTTGCAAAAGACATGATACCAGCCGGCAAAAGCCCTAAACCCTTAGCAGTCTAAAGGAGGATCCCAAAGCAGTCCGAAGCGTCCTAAGAAGCCCGGCCCGAGACTTTTCCTGACTTTCAGGTCGACGAGTGGGCCCTTCAGCAAGTCGGAAGCACCTCGCCCGGATGGCAAAACCCTCACCCCTCCCCGGAGTGAGGACTTTGCTGTTGTGTCGGGGCCTAAGTTTGGGGACCTTGCTTCTAGTTGAGACTGTAGTGGCGAGCACACAGTCTTATGTAGCCTTTGACGCGGGATCCCAGTGCTGCGAAGCTTGCAGATGATGCTGCTTCTTGCTAGGTCAACGCGGGAGCACCCGCGTGCTGACAGGCTCGAACCCCAGCAAGGTCAGGAAGTCTGAGGAGCACCATACCCCTTCTGCGGTCTTGGGCTCTCAGGGTATGTTGCTCTTGGCTATCTTCTAGCAGAGCTTCTAGCAGCTACCAAACTGCACAGAAAGTGAACGGACGAATGAGCTGCGAGCTTCATCTCACTGCGTCTCCGGGCCCCTGCCCAGGCCAGCGTCTCCGGGTGACAGAGCCGGCGGTGCGGGGCAGGGGCCTTAGGGTTCTGGGGCCCTGCTTGGAGGTTCATGGTTAGTTACAAGTAGGATTATATAAGTAGGATAACTCTCGTTATAACCCATATTAAGGGACCTATAACCCTACTTATGACTGCCCATGAACCTCCAAGTGTGTTTTGACTCAGGCAGTTCTCCAGCACCTATAGCCTTCCAAGTCCTTAGACCTGAGCTTGGAGGGCTTCTTGGGTCTCTCGGGTAGACGATTCCGAAGATTTTTGCGGGACTCTGGCAGGATCACTAGCATGTCACGGTGTGAGCAAGACAGGACCGAACGATGCATTCATTGGCCGAACTCCCCAAGTCAATCCGATTGAAGTGTGGCCTTGGACCATAAAGTAGATCCTATGAGCATTCATCTTACTGCCTCACCTATGCCTATTGAATCCTTAAGCCGGTTGAGGAGTTAACATCGTAGTAAAGCTACCCGTACAAGCCCGAAATCGGAACCTCGAATCTAAACTCAGAGGTCCTGGAGAATAACAATCACTTTGTCATGTTCTCCCGTGCATCATCCTTTCACCCGGCAGCCCCTTGACCTGGGTGCTTGTATGTGCTTGTCAAAATTAGGGTACCCAAAATATTAGGTGCCGTATTATAATGGGGATCCAAAAAGGGACCATAATTTTGACAACTACCCACCCCGGACTTGAAGCCCAGGCCGATCCCATCGCCCGAAGTCATGGCCAAAGCCTCCCGGGCACGAAGCCCGCTCTACGTCGCCCCATCGGCAGCGAAGGCGCCGAAGGGCCAAAGAGCGAGGAGCCCGAAAGCCACAAAGACGGATCCAACTGCGGCGCCGCTTGGTGAACATTGATGGCTTTTCCACAGGTTCTAGGTTCTGTATAAGGGTGTTGTTCTTATGTTGGACTTTCCGACTTGGCAATGAGGTCAAAGCATGTGTGCCCCAACTACCTCAGGTCGGTGCCCTCCACACTTGGTATGGCTCCGACCCGCGGAGGGCCAACGGGAAGAACGCCTGTGTCGCAGTCCCTTCAGGGCATGGCGGAGGAGTGGGTGGAAAGTGCACAGTTTCCAACCAAGTTGGGCCCTTGGCTGCTGGGCCATGTGATTGCAGCCTCAGTCGTGATCCTGTGTGATAGTAGCCACGCTGATGTCTTGTGAGAGGCTAGGAAGCAGTCTCAATTTTTGAGCAGGGGATTCGAAGTCTGTGTGGCTACTGAGCCTACAGGTAAGATGGAAAACTCCCCTTGCAGCAAATGCAGTCTTGGGACCTCGATGTGGGGACTGTTGTGGTGCCGGTGGAGCTCGCCTAAACCCTAAACTCCCCTACCCTAACCCTAAACCCTAAGCTCTCCTAGACCCTAAACTCCCCTAAACCTTAGACCTAAGCCGTGCAGATTCTGGCATCTAGGCACACAGAACCCACACCGGTGCCGCCGAAACCTTTCGTGTCAGATCCCCAGTCTTCAGAGTTTAGGGCTTTGGGGGTTTCGGCCTATAGGGGGATTTTGTAGGGATTAGGGTTCCCATAATAGGTTTCATATTAAGGAATCCCTACCCCAAGAATCTTAAACCCCCCTTTTGGCCTCCCATCACAGAGTTTAGGGTTTGGGGGTTTACCTATTGGCTGTAAACTCAACTTTTCAACTTTCGGGGTTCTTGTAAGGTAGTTAGTCGATTCTGAAAGGTTCAACTTTTACTTCCTTGGGTTTTCGGCCAGTGTGTTTAAGGTTTAAGGTGATGCCTATGCTAGAGAAACTCCCCGAAGGCTGTATATAGTACTATCAGTATCTTCGGATTCTAATCACCGTGTTTGTTAGTCATATTGGTATGGTTAGTACTAGTGTTCGTATCAAGGTTAGACTTAGGATAATGTTTTCTCATGCGGTTTCCCTGGCGCCCAAGCCTGACAGAGGCCAATGCCTTCTCCGGCTCTTTGCGAAACCACCTTTGTTCATTGCTGGGCATGAATTTCAGTTGGGGGCAGGGTTTATAAACTCATGAAGGGTTCAGGGGTAAGGGTTTCGGCATTGCTTAACATGATCGACGTCCGCGCTTCTGTTAGAGGGAAGGAAGGCCCAGTTTCTGGATGATCTCACCAGAAGAGGACAGGAGCGGACCACACGGCAAACTCAGACTTAATTACACCCAAATCTCGGCACGTCAATCTAAACTGAAACTGTCATCGAAAGCGCTGATGTTTAGGGCACTTTAAGTTCTTGTGCCAAAAAGCAAAGCGGAAATGAACCCTAAGCCTCAGGCCTAGATGCCACCCTCCTCAAGACCTCCCAAAAAGCAACAAGCAAAACCGAGAGAAAAGCACAACAGTAACAACCGAAGCCGAAGCCCTAAATTCTTGACCCGAACCCAGAAAAGTTCTTTCGAACCCTGACAAGACCCGCTACAACCCTAAACCCCTGGACCCCTTAAGCCCTGAAACGCCCAGAGAGCCCAATATCCCTTAATTCAGCAATATACTTTAAATTTTAGGGGGGTTCATATTATGAGTTAAGCTATATTTCTTAATTAAGGAGTATTGGGCTCTCTGGGCAGGGAACCCAGTTCTTTCCAAGGCGCGCCCGGGCGCCCTCCGAGGGCTCATCCTCGGATAATGCAGATGCAAAGCGGCGAGAGCCAGGGCACCCGGGATATGCAGACTTTTGGGAGCTTGCGGGATTGAAGGTTTGAAAACTCCCATACAAAGTTTGTGTGGGAGTTTCCGGAAATTTGGGGGTACCTTATTTTGGGGTCTTCATAATAAGGATCCTACTGTTTTAGGGCACCATATCAGGGTCCCCTATGTTCGGAGATTCCCATATGCATCAGGGTTGCGGTTTCTGGTACTTTGATTTGGATAGGGTCGGAGAGCTTGGATTGGAGTTTATTCGAGTTTGTGTGTTAGAGTTTCGTGCTCGGTTCATCAGGGTGGGGCCAGTTCAGACATAGAAACAGACATAGGCATGCACACACATGCATGCGTGCATACGAACAGACCGGAGGACGGACAGCCAGATTGACAGAACGACGCACTGTACACATACAGATAAAAACATTTATGATGCACACTGGCATGCATGCAAGCATATGCTATGTAGACACATGCAGACCGGTATAGATACATGTAGGTAGAATGTTAGACAGTTGGATAGAGTAGATCGGTGGACAAGTGACAGATCGTTGTGTGTGTGTGTGTGTCTCTGCGTCTGGGTTTGTGTTTTTGCCAGTGCCTCATCCTTCTTGGGTGTGCGTGTGTGTGTGTGGGGGGCATGTAAGTTGCTGGCTGACGAGTTTTGTCGGTTCGAGTGTAGGGTTTATGTGCCTGTGGCAGTGCCTCCATCGCAAACCTGGCTCGTTCGCGCGGCGTCTTGAAAACCTCAGGGTTTACGGAGGTCCAGCAGGGACGTAAGCTTCACTGCTTAAGGGGCATCAGTACTGACAGGTAAGTATGTGATAGATGATGAGCTACTGCAGATGTCAATGCTTTGGAGGGGAATTGTGAGATTGAGTGATTCCTGAGCACACTAGCATTTCCCGACATTTCGTCGAGATGGGATGACCAAGTGTCCTGTACCGAGTCTGGACTCTGGACTGCACGCAAACGGCCATGCTAGTTCACAGACCAGCACCTTCACAAAACACTGTTGACACGAAATTCAATCGAATTGAGCTGCCAATGTTGCTAGTGTGTATCACTATTTCAATTTCGTTGGCACCGAACCCAAAAGCGAAAGGTTGATGTAGGGAACCAGGGCCGTACTTATAGCAGCCCTTTCCAGGAACCCTATTCTAATTATTGAAGCCCCTATATTACAGAACCCTAAAAAAAGAAGATCCCTTATGGACTAAAGACTCCTTTGAAGGACCCCTTTGACGGAACCCTTACAGGAACCCTGGGGCCATTGAAGCCCCTATATCAGAGTACCCTGATAATAACTCCCATAATAACCCACTGAAGGCCGACCGCCTTTGCGGCACCCGCGGGGACGTCGAAGAGGCATCGGAAGCATTGGCTGGTGGAGGTTGCGAAACTGGGTTACGGGTTTTAGGGTTTAGGGTATTGTGGTTTAGGGCTTTAGGGGTTTAGGGTTTCAGGGTTTAGGGCTTTAGGGTTGTAGGGTTTAGGGTCTAGGCTTGCGCTGCTGCTCTTCAAGCCCTGGGGCTGCCTACTTACAGACATAGCACCCTAAGCCCGAAATCCTCAACGTATAGTAGCATAGCTGCCTGCTATTCATGTTGCCAACGGTTCTGGGATGCACAGCAAGGCACAACTTGAGTGTACGACCCAGGAGAAGTCGGGTGAAGAAGCTCTAAGAACTTGTCTTCAACCTGGCAGCAACAAGAGTGAGACAGTTTGTGTTGCCAGTACCCATCAGACTACAGCGGAAATCATGGCGACTGTTGTTTCGTGCGCTGGCGTCTCAGATGTGCAGTTAGTAGTCTGAGGGGCCGGTGTGACGACGACCTGCTCGTTTTCGATTGCCAGAATGCCTGTTATGCAACTACCCTATTGAATCCGACATTGCAGGTCCAATTCTGTCAGACCTTTCTTGCTTCGGCTGCCTTCTTTGTTTACGGCTATTCTAAAACCTCAAGACAAAGAGAATTAAAGTCTAAAACCCTGAACCTCCCAAGCAAAGAAGCCCTTAACCTGCACACCTTGGACTTGAACCCAGCTCGGATCTTTCAGATGAAAGGCACTCGCGATACATGCCGAAATAGTTACCAACATTATTCCCTAGGGCTCGTTATACTTGTACTGCAAAGGGAGCCCAAATTGTTATTCTAATTATTGCAACCACTGTGCCATGCCATCACTGGACCCGGGATCCAAGCAGACCCCAACCTTCGGCAGGCTAATTATGGGTGGCGTTAGCCGAATGGGAGTTTCCGAAAATTAGGGGTACCTTATTTTGGGGTCCTTGTAATAAGGACCCTACTATTTGGGGTACTACATTAGGTCCCCAATTTTGGGAAACTCCCAAATCAGGCATCGTGATGATTTATTTCGTCCCAAAATTGTGGGTCGGCATTGAAGACCCACAGCCTTAGCTGCGCAGCGAGCAACATGCAGACAGCCACAACCACCACCTTCTTCAAAGCTGCTAGCTCCGAGTTTCTTGGGGTGTAGGTAGGGTTTATAGGCTTTAACCTCCGAACCCAGTGTTTGTACCTTCAGGGAAGCTTTGCCAGCGCCCGGGAGGGACTCGCGTGACATGCCGGGTGCCAAGCACGGCTTTGAAACTCTTTGAAGGTCCAAGGCCTAAACCCTAAACCCCGAAACCCTATCAAATCTGTGGTCATCAACTAAAAGCGCGCTAAAAGTGTTTGAGAGGCCAAGAGTGGGTCAAGGTCTTGCAGGGTTCAGGGGCCAAGGTCTTAAGTTTACTTTGAGGGTTTAAGAGCGGCAACCTTGCGTGGAAGCCTGCAGCAGAAAGGGATTTTGGGTGCAGGGCAGGCTGTATTGGTTTCCTTCCGTGTCCATGAGCGGACACCCGGCAATTCGACGGCAGTTCGCATCTGGGTCTTTGCTTTGCTCTGGCGTATTCAGTAGTTTTCCACAAATCTATGGCCACTGCTTGGAGGTAGCCAACTAGGCTGAATGCGAGTGCGACATGGACCATGGGTCTACAGGGGTGCCTTGTTTAGGGGTTCCAGTGGTAAAGATTCGTGGATTTCGTGTCTTTTGCATGATCCCCTATCTGCTGCAACTCCCAAAATTGGAATTGAAGCCTTGTGGTCTGGAGGTTACTGGGATGGACGAAGTCTAGTCGTTCGGCTTCCTACGTCGCAGCTTCAAGTCTTAGCATCCTTTCCTTCGGGAACTGACTAAGCATAGGTTCCAAAGAAATTGCCAATAGTCACAGAAGCATAGATCTTAAGCCGCACTGCCATGACCACAGGGTTGACCATTAGCACCAAGCCAAGAGCGCTCCGGAGAAACCTGAATCCTGACCCCACCATACTGGAAAAGGCTGGGACCAGCTCATGGGCGACAGCAGCCCAGTGCTGCTCACAGTGTCGGCTTTCTGGCGTCGGACGTTCATTGGGTATGCAACGTGAGGTACGGTGGTTCTGCGTCTGCCCATGTAGGATGTGGTAGGATGCTTCTCTGATTTGTTCTGCTTAAAGCATCCAAATATGCAATGACCGCGTGATGATGAAGCTCAACAGAAACCAGGGCTTGTTATTTGTGGTTTCTGCATATCGTCAAAGGTTTGGCACAAAAGATTTCGTCATGCCTGAACGCGGCGGTCGCGATTGCTGGTGCCGCGAGGGCAAGTGCGTCGTCCAGCAAGAACGGATTTCAAAGTGTAATGCTTGGTTTTTATCTCAGGAACAAAGCCACTATAGCAATACTGAGCAACATGAGAGTTAAACCCTAGACCCTATCCCAATGTATCTCGGGTTTCCAGAAGCGGGGCCATGTCGGACCACCAGAGGTGTCGCGATTGCAGCCCAAAGTGTGGCTGTTTCTGCTGCAGGCACGTCATTGCAAATGCCAGCTCTTAATCCATCCAGCAGCTGTAGCGGCTTGACCACAGTGTGAGAAGCGAGACTGACGTGGTTTGAAGGGGCCAGGAGCAAGACTCCTAACGTTTATACCATTGCAGGAAGTGTATTTTAATGTTCGAGTACCAGATTTAAATCATCTGCTCGGAGCTATGCGCGTACTGCCAGCATTGTGTTCTCTGCTAACACAAGCCCAGGCTCTGACCGAATCATGTGTCGCGCATGCTCCGCTTGTGTTGTACTGTAATGTTTAAGTTTAACGTGTTCACTCTTTTTCACGTGGCTGTCGCTGTCGCGTTGTTTGTTGCGGTAAGGGTTGCCATGTAAGTGGAAAAAGCCGAGCTTTGTCTCGTTTTCTCTTGGTATATATCCGGAGTCGCAATATAGCCTAACTTGAGCAAATTCCTGACGAGGCCAGCCTGCGCAGCTGCGCGTCTCGTTCTGGGCCCGGTTGAGCAAAATGGTTTAGGCCTTATCCGGATTTAGGGTAGAGTTTTGGGGTTTAGCGAGGGTTTCGCGACTTTGGTTTGCATTAGCCGGGATGCTCATACTTGCATTGGTCTGCACTCCTCTGCCTCGTCCATGTGGCCTCGCGACAGAGACTGTTCTCCCGCGGAAAATCCTGCATGTTAACCATGTGATGCGCAATGAAGAAATGCCTCCAACCCGCTCAATGCCAGCATGGAACTTGTTTTCTAGAACTTCGCCCTCGAAAGGCCAAACATCCGTTTTCTAGCCCTGCCTGCATGAAACCCTGAGACGATGTTGGTAATATAGGGACCGTGATAATCAGATTTTATGGCTTTGAGGAATTAGACTTATTTATTAAGGAGCCCTCAAGCGTCTTGGTAACAATTATGAAGGCCCCTATATCATAGAACCCTCCTATAGATCCCTTATAGAACCCTCTAAAGAGCCCTATTCGAATTAAAGCCAAAGCCCTAAAACCCTAAGCCCTAAGCGCCAAACCCTAAGCCCCCCAAGCCCTAAACCCTAAAACCCCCTAAACCCAAAACCCCCTAAGCCCTAAACCCTAAACCCTAAGCCCAAGTGAGAATCGACATCATTCAACTTTTCACACCGACTCCCTACCTAAGAACCTCGCCTGGCTGTGTCCGAGTTGTGAGAGCGTAAACCCTAAGCCCCCCTACAGAAGTCCAGGCTGGACAGTGGTTGGGAGAGTCTCACAGCATCGCCGGAAGATCTCCAGGACCGCATCTGAGCCTTTCCGAAGATTACGGGGGGGGGCTACCCTTAACGGGTTTCTCTAAACGGTTACTATAAGGGTACTATAAGGGTCCCTTTAAAGGGCTCTACAAGGGTTTAGAGTTTTCGGAAATTAGGGGGATACCCTTTAAGGGTTCCTTTGTAGGGCTCCTTGAAGGGATCTATAAGGGTTCTATAAGGATATGGGTCCTTAAAGGGATCTATAAGGGTGCTATAAAGGGTTTAGGGTTTAGGGTTTCCTAAGATTAGGGGGGTACCCTTGTTTTGGGGAGGTGTTTTCGGAAACTCCCAACTGAGCCGGGGTGTAGGGCGCAAGATGCACGAGTTTTCGGGTTTCCAAAGTCCGTAAAAAAGAGCGGAGAAGTGTTGATACCTTGGTACCACGACTACCACCACGCCCAACTCCCCCGTCGCACCCTGGAATGCCAGCACCAGCACCACCACCACCGCCACCACCACCACCACCACCACCACCACCACCACCACCACCACCACCACCACCACCACCACCACCACAATCAGCATTCGAAAATCTCTGCGACGATGCCGGGGTGTTGATCAATCATAGCAAATGCGGGTACTCGTGGTACCCATGCTACAAGTAGTAGAAAGCTCCGGTACTCATAAAGTAGGAGATAAAGAAGCTGGAAAATCGGCATAGCAGTATGTTATCGCAACAGACGCATCTGGCCGCACAAGGACGTGGATTGCCTTTCTCCACCATCATCGTCATCATGACAATCATCATTATTATAATCATCGTGTTCACACCAAAGGCCTTTTCGCTGCTATTATCAGTATCTTCATCCATGGTCTCATCCTCGTCCACATCCACCATGAACATCACCTCGGTCTCTATCGGCATCGTCATCGTAAGTATCACCGTCTTCATCCATATCACCGTCAAATGAGCACAGCCCATGAGCCCTTTACGTGGCCAGATGATTAGTCTTCCGTGGGACATTCTTGACTCCGGGAAATGCGCTTCTGAGCTTGCACGTAACGCTTTGGGTCGGCTTGCATGTAGGACCAAAGTGGCTTGAACGGTGCTTGATAACTCTCTGACCTGATGGCCACAGCTGCTACAGCTGTCGCGGGTCATGATTGCTTTCGGAGACTACGATGCTGTCGATGGCTTTGCTCCGGATATTTCACGACGTTTCTGCTGACCATGTGTGTGACACTGTCTGGTGCTTAGTAGGCAATGGGGCAATGGATAGTAGTCCCTACATAATCCGCAATGATCGCCCAAGCAACCCAAGCATCAGACGGTACAGTTCATCAGGTGGGACTCAGCACCTAGGAATACCATGGCCGACCCTTGCTTTCGTCTTCTTGGCTGACTTATGTTTAGCAATTTATTGTCAAAACTGTTACCATGACCGTTTGTGGCCTTGTCCTTTATCTTCCCAGCTCCTTGCCTCTCTCTCCGTTCCCACCCTTCCGCCCTGGCCTTCGCTCCCTCACTTCTTTGTCTCTCTTTTTTCTTTTCTCTCTCTCTCTCTCGTTCTCTCTCTTTCTCTCTCCCTCTCTCGCTCTGGTTCTCGCTCTTCTCTCAGCCACTCTCTTTGCATCTTCGGCGAGGCACTGACGCAGGGGGAAACTCCGCAGGTCCTGCTGGCTCCTCAGGCTGTCGATGTTTGGGGCCTCGAGCTCCGAGCGCGAGATTCGAACTAAGTCACAACAACCGGGACGACGACGAAGTCACCGACCTATACTCTGCATTACTTTGCTCCTGCCTTTCGTCTTTGCTTCCTTGCTGCTGCTGCTCCTGCTGCTGCTGCTGTTCCGAGAGTGCTTCGTGTTGCCATGCCAAATCTGTCGTCCCCTGTTGGTTTTACCATTAACAGAAGCATGGTGAGCACCTTCATGGGTAGTTAGTTCGAGAGCAGCTACTCCATTCTGTGGTTCTTATATAGTCTTGTTGCTGCAGTCAGTGCTGGCAGCTTGATGACACTCGATTCTCTGTTTCGGGTTCACGTCTGCCCGGGCATGGCAAGCTGCGGCTGCTTTAGGCCCGTGATTCAATGGTTTGAAGTGTGAAGTGTGAGAAATTGACCTACCATCACTGCGGGCGTCGTTCTCCTTCATTCCAAGTTCATGTTGCTATGTTGGTCTTCAGTTATCCTTCCGACATTTCAGGCTTCCAGCAGGGGTTGCGGAGATGCTTTCAGCCAAGGTGGGTTCGGTCTGATAATGAAATCGAGAACGACGCGGATGCAGCGCAGCCACACCCTCAGCTCCTAGGACCTCCGCCTTGTTCGGGTCCAGCGAGGAAAAGCCAACCTCCGAACTTAATCTAGCTTCCCTAGCTGTTACAGTTTCTTAACCAGTCGGCTTAATTAGTACGCAGTATGTCCATAAGATGCCGAAGGCTTTGAAGGTCTGACCCCGGCAGACTTCTTCAAGACTGTGGAACTGCACAGAATGCTTGCCTCATAGTTTTCGCTTCTAGTAGCCGGAGAATGAGAAGCTCAACCATGCTCTCTCCCTTTCTCTGTTGTCTATCTTCTCTCTTTCTCAGGCCTTCCTACAAACGGTGCGGCCGAAATACTAACAGCGCTCAATGCTTTCTCTTTGTCTTTCTCTCACTCTCTCTCTCTCTCTCTCTCTGTCTCTGTGTCTCTCTTTCCTCTCTCGCTCTCTTTCTTTCTCATTCTATCTCCCTTGCTATCTCTCTCTCCCTCTCCCTCTGCCTCTGTCGCTCTCTCTCTTTCACTCTTGGAATGTTCATTGCAATCCTAATGCAAGAGCCCATATTATGGCAGTGCTTACAGACGTTAGAAAACCCCCCAACAACCGGCCCCAAGGCCCCTGCAAAGATGCCCTACTTGGAGGTTCAGGGGGAGTAATAAGTAGGTTTTTTTTGCGACATGGGTTTGCAGAGGATTTGTCAATCTTCAGACTTGTAGGATAACTAGGGCTATAACTCATATTAAGGGACCGATAACCCCACTTATAGCTACATGAACCTCCAAGTAAACCGAAAAGCCCTATGCCCTCATAGAAGCCCTAGATCCCTTTAAAGGGACCCTTAAAGGAACCCTTATAACTACCCATGAAGCTCCAAGAAACCACTCCGAGACGCCGGCGCCCGCACAGGCAGAGCTTCAGTCTGAAGCCTCTGACGGCATCCCCCGAAGACCTCCAGGACCGCCCTTAAGCCCCTGGTTTGGGGTTTAGGGTTTAGCCCCATGGGTAGTTCTCTAAACTCGGGTCCTCTTAACTTAAGAAGGCTATAGGATATTAAATTACTAGTTAAGCCCCGTGGCTGCCCATGCGAGATCATTCCATGCTTTCGCGCATCCGAGCTTCCTGCGATTTTTCGTGGTTTTGGTGCCATGCCTGATGGCTGCTTCTTGCTTTTTCGTGCCTGGCCTGCCCTGCTGCCCTCCCAGCCTGCTCTCGCCCTGCCCGTCCCGTCCTGCGCCTGCCCTTGCCCTGCTCTCGCCCTGCCCTCTTGACCAGTTCCAAAAACCATGACCTTCAAAAAACTCGTTTTTGGTCTCGGAGCCGCCATGCCCTCTCCCTGCCCCTGCCCTGCCCTGCCCTCCCTGCCCAGCCCAGCCCTGCTGCCCTCCTGCTGCCGTCTGCCCTTCTGAGCTTCCAGTTTTTTCATGGTTTTGGAACTCAACGGCAAGAAACCCTTCAACCCTGTCTCAAATATATTATTGTTGGGGCAATCAGAGTCTGATTTCTTGTTTGATAAGATTTCTTAATGTGAAGCTCGACCGCAGCTGGTTTTGGGCTTGGGGCTTGGTTGGACAAGGCAAAACGCTCCTACGACGCTGTCCTAGTGACCTAGTGTTGCTTCAGCGTCTTTCTACAGCTTTCAGAGATGTTTCTGTGCCCGAGTTGTGTTGAAGCGTTCTTGTTTGTTGTCTTTTTACCTCGCGCGTGAAAGAGCACGGAAGTTACGCGAATGCAGCGCGGAAGGGGCTGTTTCTCTGAGAAGGAATTTATGATGACACCCATTTGCGCAGCAACAATCCGAGTTTTTCGTTGCCGATACTTGCCGTGGTTGATTTCACGTTTGGGCCTCGCAAAGCAAACAGCTCGACAACATGCCAGCACACTCCAGAATGCTGACGCGAACGGCCAAACCCATACTGAGGTAATTACACGAAGGGCTTGAAAACATCATGTGGGCCACAAACGAACAGCTTGTGCATGCCACTAGGAGGTGGCAGGAAAGTTCGGACAACAGGACAATACAGTTGCTGCTTTGAGGGCTCCCTCCCTCCCTCAATCAATCCCTCGCCCCGCCCCCGTCTCTGTCTCTTGCGCTGTTTGTTTCTGCGTCTATCTCGCAATCATCTCAATCTCTCACTCCCTCGCCTCTTTCAGCCGCTCTTTTTGCAGCTTCGGCGAGGCACTGATGCAGGGGGAAACTCCGCAGGTCTTGCTCGCTCCTCAGGTCATAGGGACCCTTAGGGGGCTAGAGGGAGGGGGGTCGGGGACTACTTCCTCAGATGGGCGTTATTCGGTCCTTATTGTGGGCATGAAGGCCCCCTACACCCGAAGGGCTCTTCAGGGACCCCTTCTTTGAGCTCCGAGCTTGAGACCCGAAGTGGTCTACGACTACGACCACTAGGACCAGTAGCAGCAATAGCAGTAGTAGTAGTAGTAGTAGTAGTAGTAGTAGTAGTAGTAGTAGTCGTCGTAGTAGTAGTCGTAGCAGTAGTCGTAGCAGTAGTAGTAGTAGTAGTAGTAGTAGTAGTAGTAGTAGTAGTAGTAGTAGTTCGTAGTAGTAGCAGTAGTAGCAGTAGTAGCAGTAGTAGCAGTAGTAGTAGTAGTAGTAGTAGCAGTAGCAGTAGTAGTAATGGTAGTAATACCAGTGCTACTACTACTACTACTACTACTACTACTACTGCTACTACTGCTTCTACCGCTACTACTGCTACTACTGCTACTACTGCTACTACTGCTACTATTACTAACTGCTACTGCTACGACTCCTGCTACTACTACTACTACTACTACTACTACTACTACTACTACTACTACTACTACTACTTCTGCTACTACTACTACTTCTGCTACTACTCCTACTCCTACTACTACTACTACTACTCCTCCTCCTCCTCTCCTGCTGCTGCTGCGACGATGGCGACAATGACGGTTACGGCGACAGAGGCGCCGGGAACGACGACTATTGTCATGTTTCGTTCTTCCTTTGCTGCTGCTGTTCCGAGAGTGCTTCGTCTTGCGATGCCTAGTCCATCGTGCCCTGTTGGTGTTACCATTAGCAGTAGCATGGTGAGCACCTTCATGGGTAATTAGTTCGAGAGCAGCTACTCCATTCCGTGGTTCTTACATAGTCTTGTTGCTGCAGT